GCAAGCTGGCGGCGGATGCGAACTGCCTCCTCTATGGCCCTCAATGCGTCCTCTCGACGACCGACATCTCCAAGCTGGACGGAGAGGTTGTTGAGAGAAAGGGCAAGGGCGGGGTTGAATGTCTCGGGGCGGTCCTGCGCAAGCTGGTGGCAGATGCGAACCGCTTCCTCAACTGCCCTTAATGCATCCTCTCGACGACCAACATCTGAAAACTGGTTAGAGAGGTTGTTGAGAGAGCTCGCCAAACTAGGAGAGACAAGGCTTTGCGCAATTGATGTGCTTTGCAAAGCAGCATGAATCTGTGTACCGGACCTATATTAGTAACAGGGATGAATAAGAGGTCAAACAAAGGCATATACCATAACCCATTCCCGTAGCTTGGTGAGGGCTGGAAACACATTCCTGAGACTTACAAGCTCTACCCAGGAGATGACACAGGGAGTGAATGCTTCAAGTGCATCAATATACTGCTTCTCCATAGGGGGCTGCACGAGACATATGTGCTCAATCCAGAAGCTGCAGGCATATGCGATACTCTCAGGAATATCGACCACCGGAAGGGGTCGAAATATGTATTCATCCCAGAATGAAGAGTACCCCAAACCGGACACTCCGTCCTTGAATGTCTCTGTTAGAACGACTAAGCATTGCAGACCGATGCGACGTGAATGCTCAACGCCATCGATGAAGTATCCATTTGATCGTTGTCGGTGCGTGAGGAAGTCATAGAGTGTCAGATGGAGGAGCTGGATCGGTACATCGTCCGTCTCCCACTCGGTGAAAAGTGGTGAAAGAATATTGAGGACTTCAGCGACGACACCGGCTGTATCACCCAAAAGATGTTCTAGAGATGACTTCGACAAGGGCTGCCGTGAGGCAACTACAGTGCCGACAACAAGCTGATAACCTTGGACAAATTCCTTGTCGTCCCAGTCGCACGTCCCAAGGACGGTCATATATAGTTCATCCATCCTTTCCTGGACGGGTGTGACACGTGTGCTGCTTTGTGAGAGGACCTCTTGGAGCTTCACATCTCGTCCAAAGAGCTTAACTCGCCCGATGTAGTCCAGAGCCACAGATGCCCACGCGAACAGACCACTAGCCTTCTCAACGAACAAGTAACGTCGTTCCTCGCCAGGCCAAGACTCTTCCAAGCCGTGATCAATGGCAATTGTATCAAACCGTTGACGGATGTAGGTGGCTATGTCCGACAGGTTATCGTCATCCTCGAGTTCGAATTTATGGTGGCGAACATTTCGCAGTTGTTGCAAGCGTCGGAGGAGAGTCTTCTCTGGACGGGAAGTGATGAAGACATGGAATGACGGAGGAAGTACAGGAATTTGGTCGCGAAGAATAGCCATGAGGTCGTCAGAGGACTCAGAGCATTCATCCAAAGCATCTATGATCAGCAGCATGCGCTGATTGGCAAAGGTCGCAGCGTGATGTATTAGAAGTTCGTCGAATTGGCGTATAGATGACGCAGATGGAAGCTCTCGCTTCTCATCCAGAGTGCTACAGAGAGAGGCCTTGAACTGTGGATTGAGGCCGCTGAGAAGATGAATGAGGGTGCCTACGAAGGCTCGTGGGTTGTTCCTGTCGCTGACAGCACGCTCAAAAAAGAACGACAGGAGGACTATCTCTCTCGATGACGATGCATTGAGAGCAGCTGTATGAGCGAAAGCAGTCTTTCCTGCTCCGGGAGGTGCAGTGAGCCAAAAGATGCTCGCTTTGCCAGGATCTGTATCGAGCCAGGATGAGAAATTTTGCAACAAAGAGGTCCGAGTCCCGGGCATACAGGCCCGGCTTCGATCCCAGGTTGCGTCCCGAGCGAAGGGCAGCTGCAGCAACATGGCTTCCTGTCTTGCCGAAGCATTTTCTTTCCTGCCATCCTGGACTGTACCGAATGAATGAGACACACAATAAGGAAGTTGGACCGAAATCGAAACAGAGCACTTGCCTTCTTTCCGAATATCGACAATAATCGCAGTGTCGAATTCTTGTCGTAATTCACGCACCTTTCTTCGACAATCTTCAATGCGAGCCTTCATGTTGGTGAACGGCGCCACGACCACACGCACTTCAATATGATGTCAATTGACCGTCAATGTTTTCTATGATAGAGATGTGGACCTCCTACCTTCAAATCGGTGTGACATGCATGTGTCTATTAAGCAAGCCCCCGCTTGTGTCAGTTCCACAGCTCGCAAAACCATGTTCCCTCTCCCCTCGACTGGCGCTAGATCCTTGCATGCTGCCACGTAAGCGAGCATGACAGAAATCTCCTCTGAGAGCTGTCGAGTGTCTTCATCGAGCTCCCGTTGAGCCTTAGAAGCCTATGTAGCATGACCAGCACACATGAAGACAATCATGAGTCATTGATTGATGTCGACGGTTTGAGACCAACCTTGTAGAGACATGTTACGACGGTCCAGGCGACTTTGATCATCGGATGGGCCTGTTTCAGTTGGCACAATGAACGATAAACTATCCTGACCGAGGCTAATATTGATCATGCGAAGAACGTACCGCTGATAGCTCGTCCCCCACTCTGACCACAGCGTCCAACATTGCGACCAAGACCCCGATGACCTGCTCGCTGTCGAGCTTCCTTGCACCCTCAGCGACTGCTTGAGCCTGGGTCCCAATGGATATTGTAGTATCCACAGTGTCAGAGACTGTCGAGATGAACTTCCCAGCTTCCCGCCGCGCGAGAGTCAGACGAGTGTTTGCGAGAGAAACCGTGGCGGCTTCCAGTCCTAGCTCGTCGAGAGACGTAGGCAGACTATCGTCGATGACAATGCGGAAGAATAACTCGACGGGGCTGGCTTTTGAGTTGACGGGTACCAGTTTGACCGTCTTCCCTGTGCTGCCTGTCTCTGTCCTGTTAGAAGACTGTGAGTGTAAAGATTTCATGACGGTGCAAATACCTTCCGACAGAAGCTCGACAACTATTCCATCGTACTCTCCGAGAACGCGATCTCTGATACGGCCGAGACGACTCTTGCGGAGAATACAAATGCGGAGGATCGATGAAGGGCGTACGTTCGTGCTTGAGAAATTTCGTGTCAGTAACTCCATCGGGACGATATGACACCTAAATCCTACAATGTCATGCTTTGATTGGCGGAATCCTCGGCCACAACTGTCAGGCCATCGACGTCGACCTCCAGTTGCGTCCTGGGTGAATTGGTTGCATCCAGACCGGCCTTGACTGCGAATTCTACGATACGGCAAACGCGACTCAACACTACGATCCGAGGAGACATTGGAGATATGCGAACCGGTTAGTGTCACCGTCATTCCATCTGCGTTTGTGCCGGCCAGAGATGGGGATGCGTTGGCAGACCTGGGAAGTCCGAATCTTCCAATTTACATCAGTAAAGACGGCTCCTAGTAAAACAGAGGCATAACGTACTGGACGACTAGACCTGGTTTGATCTTGGACATAGTGATAACTATCTCTGGTTGCTACTGAGGAAGGCGTCGCGGTGGTTAAGGCGAAGAGCGAGAAGCGCCGAAAGTGTCGTCCCTAAGCATGAGGCTGAGGCGTTGAGGGCTTAGGGTAAGTAGCGTGGGACGGATGAGGAGGCAGTACAGACACGGTAATCCTAAGAAAAGATACACATACACCTAGGCTTCGTCCACGGCCTCGGAGTTCGAAAGCCAAACGTTCACAAAGTGCTGTTGAAGTGCTGTATAAGTATAACACGTCTGGATCAGTTCAGGGTGGACCATCTCTTCTTGGTATATTATGCGTCTGCTGCGTCAGGACTCCCCAGAAGGGAGACCAGAGAGAATTGAGGTCTAGATTGAGATCGGTGTTGGATGTCTATCCGTATTTAGAACGGTCCTGGCAAACATAGACGAATTTCGGGAGCTCTGCTGCAGAGCTTCTCACAGCCAAGTGAGCGCTATATTACCTGTGCGTATAGGTTAGGTTCATAATGAGTGACTATTCGTAGCAGTCTAGGAGTGTGTCTTGTTGCACAGAAACACAAACACGGGGGCCTCATTCAATAAAGAAACAACTTCAAGTTGGGCCTTCTTTCTGTGCGTCCAGGCCTCTACGATTTGCCACACAAACCCCCTATGTACGGATAGTCATCTAGTGCCTAGCCTCCGAGTCATCGCACACAGAAAGCCAGGTAGAAATGTTACTTTAGTAGAGGGTCTGCTATGGATTATGGCTTGGTTTTTGGCAGGGCGTTGGTCGATTTCGCTTGAAACAAAAGTTGCTGATAAATATCTGACTCGGCTTCATGGCTCCCGGGCCGCCGAGGGCCCGAGTTCTCGGTCCATGACGGCAGTCATCACGCCAAACTAGGCCATCTTTTCTTCTTCACGATCTTCCTTGAATTGAACTGAACGACTTCGAGGTCTCGCGCATTTTTACGTTGCTCAGGGTGGTGATAACTTCAAATGAGCTTGTTCTCATGGTCTCCGGAGAGGTTATCGTCGCCGCCACTTCTGTCCAAGTCGAATGTCTGTCATTGGTCTGTCAAATGTTTTTCGACTCTTCTAAGCCTGCACCTTTCGAACCGAATCTGTTATCTCGACCGAAGGATATCTTGTGCTGCTCTTCCCCTTCATCCTCAGTGTCTACCTTTCGGAGATATCAAGGCTCCTGGGCAGCTGCAGACCTCATTTGTTTGCCACAATGGACCACTGTCAGTGTCACTCGATGATGTTCCAAAATGTCTTCGAAACGGATGACGGGACGGTCAGGATCAGACCTCGGGTCCGCAATCCGTGAAGTTGTCCTGGAACGTCCAGCTGAAAGTGGTTCTCTGACTGCCTGTTCTGCTGGTGGCGATCGTGCTGCTCGATTGCTGACTGGCGCTCACTGCCGAAAAGGCCGCCGAGGCACGGACGCGATATCTCTCTGTCCTTCATCGTCTCCCGAGATTATTGATTGCAACATCGGCACTTGTGACAATCGGTCCTTTTTGGGGATGTGATTTGTCTCGTGAGAGTTATTTTTCTCGTAGCGGGCATTGGATCGCGCTGAACTAACGCTCACCTCTGACCGAGCCCTCATAAAGCGTTCTTACACTGACGGTGTTCTTGCTGTCTGTGTTGCTTCTGCTTCTGCTTCACTTTCTCAGTGCTGTGTATTCGCTGCAGATATGTCGTGCTCTATCCACCCGCCAGATGTGAGCGGTCATCTTCCGTCTCTTTGAGCCCCAGCGGGACTGAGATCTTCTCTACAGCACGCTCAAATCGTTGTCATCGGAGGTGGTCCCGGCGGTAGTTACGCGGCATGTGCTTTGGCCCGCGAGGGCTTTGACGTAGTTCTTCTTGAGGCGGCATCGTTTCCTAGGTAACTTTCTTTCAATACTATGTGCCCATCCAAGTGGAGTCTTCCGAAAACGCAGTTGTACTGAATACTCTGGTGAAGATATCATATTGGCGAGAGTCTCCTCCCGTCCATTCGTCATCACCTCAAGTTCATCGATGCAGAAGAAAAGGTGAAAGCCTATGGGTTCGCTCACAAGGTGCGCTTTCTTCATTAGATGCCGTGATACATTTGTCTCAACTGGTCTGTCGATACAGCCCGGCGCAGCAATCAAATTCAACCAGTATGAAAGGGAAGGATGTATGTACATACTCGCGGTTTTGGGTATCTCGCTTCATACCGCCGACTAAAACTTCGACCGAAGATACCGATTTCGTCGCACTCGGTCACGACAACAGTTCCTGGAACGTCGTAAGCATGCGTTCACCTCGTCTCTAGAAGCGAAACTAACTCTACTACCCATCAACAGGTGAGGTCCGAGTTTGACGCCCTTCTCCTTGAACATGCAAGATCGAACGGCGTCAAAGTCTTTCAGTGCACAAGGGTTCTATCGGTCGAATTTCAGAAATCAAATCCACTTGATATTCCTGGACGCCCTACCTCAGCCAATTGGTCACATTGTCCACCATCATCTTCACCCTGTGCTTCGGACTCGCCGTGTAATGGTACGATTACCTTCGATTACCTTGTTGACGCCAGTGGACGCGCCGGCATACTCTCGACCAAGTATATGAAGAACCGTCGTTTCAATTCGAATCTCAAGAACGTCGCGATCTGGGGGTACTGGGACAACGTGGGCATTTATGGCGAAGGCACTACAGCCGAAGGAGCACCTTACTTTGAAGCTTTGAAAGGTATAGCTCACGTTACTTACATCTCTTCTCCTCAACGATCTCACGCTCTCACGTTTACGCTGCAGATCAATCTGGCTGGGCATGGTTCATACCACTCAATAACAAAACCACCTCTGTCGGCATCGTCACCGACCAGAAAGTCTTCTCTCGTTCCCACTCCAAATCGTTCAGCACGGCTTCGCTAGGCCCCTCTCTAGTGCCCGACTCCCAGACCCCGTTCTTCCGTTCGCCGCTCTCCCAGACCACGTCCAGCTCTCCTGACATCTCCAGGACTTTCTCTCCTGGCAGATTCTCCATCGCCACGCCTCCAACATCTCCGTCACTGTCGAACCTTCTCACACCAAAGTCAAACTCATTCCGTTCTTCGATCAACCTCGCGTCGTCCACGGCGGCTAACCTCGCAAAAAAATATCTGTCTTTGCTCGAACTTGCCCCCAAGGTCGTCGAGCTGATCGGTCCGGACGGCTCCCTCGTGCAATGCAAGAAAACACCCGGTTCCACACCTCCGCCGTGCACCACCAGTCCTCGAAGCCCACGAGCCTGTGCCTCCGCCGGCGATTTGGGAACTCCCTTCTCTGAACCTGGCTCCGTTCCTGGGACGCCGCCACCGCCGCGCCGTCCGTTCGCTGGAAGGGTGGACACATTCGGCGCTGGGGCTCCCTATGCGGGCGGTGGTCCGATGAGTCCTGGACCTGGAAATGCTTTTGGATCTGCACCGGAGTTTAATATCGAGAGCTCCGCGAACGCGGCAGATAGTCCGATCAGGATGGCGAGTGATTATAGTTACTCGGCGACTACCTATGCGGGAGACAGGTTTAGGATCGTTGGGGATGCTGGAGGCGAGTCGCTGTTATTGTTCCGTCGTTGTTCTCCAGCGCACATTGACTGACTTTTATGGATATTTCCGCGGTTTGCTATAGCGTTCATCGACCCGTTCTTCTCTTCTGGGGTTCATCTCGCGATGACTGGCGGACTGGCTGCTGCCACGTCGATAGCTGCGTCGATCAGAGGTGAATGTCCGGAGCAGGAGGCAGCGGAATGGCATACCCATCGTGTGTCGATATCGTACACAAGGTGCGCTCATCAAAATTCCCTTAACTGGCATGAAAACCGCAAGGATATCAGTACTGATGCTGTGACGGTACAGGTTCCTCCTTGTTGTGCTCAGCGTATACAAGCAAATCAGAGCGGAGCCCTTCGACGTGCTTTCGGATGTTACGCAGGAGAATTTTGATAAGGCTTTCGATTTTATACGTCCAGGTACGTTTTGCATACCTATGTCTCTTCTTTCTGTTCGCGAGTTTCGATGGTTCAATGACCTTTTCTTCCTCTCCGTAGTCATCCAAGGAAACGCAGACCTCGGACCCCGTCTGTCTGAATCCGAAGTTCAATCCGCATTGGGTAAGACTCCCAACTATGTCGCCACCATGTTCATGATGTTGAACGACCCGTGACTAACATTCGCGCCGATCTCGGATCTTAGATTTCTGCGTCAACTTCTTCAATCCTGTCTCGCAAGCAGAGACCGAAGCCGTCCGCAAGCGTTTTGAAGGCGTCAACCTTAACCGTGAATTGAAACTCGATCTACCTCCAACACCAACATCTCCCAGCAAACCGAAGCCGCATCGATACAACACCGACGAGCCTGTTCCCAAAGACCAGCGCTCTCAGGCTGGAGTTCCAGAGCTTCCTGACGCGGACACGTTTGGCGCAGCCGGAACACAGGGGCCTCCTACGCGGCCAGCTGTAGTTGGAAGGAAGAGGAGCAAGACTATTGACACTGTGATCAAGTGGCTGGGAAAGGTTAGTGGAATGAAGGACGTGGATGAGGAAGGTTCGGAGAGTCCGGAGGGGCAATCCCCGTCTCCGAAAAACACACCTGAGACTCCAAGCCACAAGTCGCCTGAGCCCAAGACATCGACTAATGCCTTATTTGACGTGACGGCGCCACTGATACCCGCGGCTCAAATCGACGAGATCGCCAGGTTCGCTCATGCCACGACTCCTTCCCAACCTCCTACACCGGGTCTAGGGTCTCCTAGTCCCAGGAAGTCGACTCCAGGTCTACTCCCCGCCCTCGATATCTCTCGCGCGAATGCCTTTGGTTCATCCGCTACATCATCCAGTGGCCTGCCTTCCCCTTCGCCAACCACTCTCGCGCCTTCTCCAGTGCTGAGCACTATGGACGATTCCGAGGCGATAGCAGAGACGAAGAGGGTGCTGGCGAAGATTAATGCGAGGAGGGTGCTTCATAAGGAACATGGGGGGCTGCATTGTTTCGAAGAGGAGGTTTTGGGTGGATGGAGTGCGAGGTTGGAGAGGGGGCGATTGGGTTTGGTGAAAGTGAAGAACAGTGAGCTGGAGCCGGTACGGGGTTCTCAGGAGGCGGAAGAGGAGAATATAGGGATGGGAAACAGCAGCGCAGCGTGATCTGTGATGCGGTGTTTGTGGAATGTGGTGAAGTTGGCCGCCTCTTTTTTATTCTTCTTCTCTTATTGGTATGTGGTCCTGACAGTGATCTGTCTCGGTGGTATACTCAGCAGGTTTCGGGGTTTTGACTTCCACATTGACTATTGCAGTGACCGTGACCCTAGACTATTTATTGCAAGCACCAGCCTGAGAACTTGATACACGCTTAGGCTGGCTGGGGCGTCGTCTTGTAGAGCCCAACCTTTATTTATTCACTGTATTTCTGCACAATAAATGAGCACAAGCGTCGATGTATTTTTAAGCATTTGTACTCGTATTCTTCCTACCGTCCTGTCATTCAAGTTCGCATTTATTCAATACCATTGGCATGTACCGGCCCCGAGGTGGAAGCGACCAGGATAGGGAAACGAGCTACCCGCCGAGGGAAGCGAGCGTGGCCCACGACACAGTGAAGCAGCTCGCTTCCCTATCCCGGCTCGCTTCCACGTCGGCCACTGTAATTTACACACCAGACATTAGCCTACTATCCCCCGTCCGACGCGTGTTGGTGTGGGTTTGGTCACAACAAGTGATGTTCTCTTCTCGCTCGGCCCAAGTCCTTGCTGGAAGGTTACATGACTGGCAGGGAAAATAAAGGATAACAGCCCGAGTGGCGGCCGGTCCGAAGGGCTTCCAGCGTTTAATATTTCGGACGATCCGAAATCTCAGGCACCCCGCCAAAAAGTCGATTTCAACCGAGCTGAGATATATAATTCTCGTTACATGTCGGACATGCAAATGTGCTACTAAAACTTCTTGTTGGGAAACAGTCAGTACTTATCTTATGTTCTCAATTCGACACGGTCTGTATCAATATGCTAAAATAATTCGTTGTGGCCAATCCCCCGAGACCAAACGGTTGGCAGACAATCGGTTAATGCCTGTGGTGTCATCTCCTGCAGATGAACAACGAGCCAATAGCCGAATTCCGGGTTTCTCCGAGTTCGCCGTGCTGCCAAGCTGGCTACTAGTCCGAATTGGTCGTTTTTCAACGTCTGACCAGCACCGTGACGACGCGTCTCCTTCCGCTTCACTATTCGATGAACTTTCTATATGGAGTCAGGTAATAGCGCAACGTTACCGACCATGGAGCATTCAGAGTTGCCAGTCTCGCGCTGAATCGTGCCCTATCGTCAGCGGTTTCTAATGCGCGCTCGAACCATACTATGGTATGTCAGCCTGAGGATATCGATGGCCTGAGATGAATCTGAATCAGACTCTTCTCGCGACGTATAACTTTCAGTATACGATCGCTTAACCAGACAAGGTACGTATACGAGAGTTCACCAAAATAGATTGCTTACTCGCACCGTCAAAAGGACGCATCAACGCCTTGGTGCGACTCGGATGCCGGAGCAGACCCGAAAGCTTGTTGCCCGCAACTGGTCGAATGATACCACCGTGGCATCGAGGCCGCGGTATCAGAAATGGATTGGGCGCAGTGAAGGTAAACTTCGCGAATTGGCTCCGCATAACCCTTCTAAAGGCGATGATGACGCGTTCGTGCTGACATATGCTTGCAGACACGTACAAACCCATACCCCATCCTGCAACTCAATTGCTTCTTCTGTCTATCCATGGGATTATATAACGGCAACGACAAGTCTTGATACGAAGAACATCCGTACTCAAATGTATCGAATATAAAGTCACCATTCCCCATCTAGGCGCACGTCTTGGTCATTGCCATCACTCAGCCCCTTCAGGCAGCATACCTTTTCCCTACAAATCCAAGACCCATCAACCTCTTCTCCTGTTCCGCATTCGACTCCCAAGAGCGTACCACTCAGCTCTTCGTGAACCTGTCACTCTGATGGATACCTCCGATGCTACTTACGTCGACGTGCTCATCGTCGGTGCCGGACCTGCTGGACTCATGGCGGCAACTGCTCTCGCTAAAGGAGGGGTCAACGTCAAGATTGTGGATCAAAAGTACGTGATTTCTTCGGTATACGCTTAGCGCACAGATCATGACGGTGTATAGACCAACAAGTGTGGCGGCCGGTCAGGCTGATGGATTGATGCCCCGAACAATCGAGGTTTTACAGGTACACTTTAATCATCATCTACTTGACGGAATGCGCTAATCATGTGGTAATATAGAGCTATGGTCTGGCAGAGTCACTACTCAAGCAGACCGCTCAACTTCATATGATGGTACGTGCTCTATCATCAGTTTCGCGTTTTTGACTAACGCAGTTAGTTAGTCGTTCTACAACCATCAACCAGAAGGAGGCGTCAAGGTAGGGCTCGGTCATCCCAGTGTTTTTCTCCTATTCGATAGTCTTTCTCAACGTCGGTCAATTAGCGGACGGGTAGGGCGCCCCTGATCACAAGCCAGCTCAATGCGCGTTACCCTTTCTGTGTAAGTCGATACAGTTCTCTATGTCATGAACCGTGGTCAATGTTTTTTTTTCTTCAGGGTACTCTCAATCAAGGTGCTATCGAGAAAGTTTTTTTGGAATCTCTCCTTGAAGCGGGTATTGTCGTCGATCGACCTTGCCGCCCTATCTCACTAGCCATGTCTACGGATACCAAGAAGCTGGATGACCCCCACGCATATCCGGTCAAGGTCTTACGCGTTGTTACCTTGATACAATCGAATTGTACACCGATCATCTTGTTTAGGTTGTCCTCGAGCATCTAGATCAGCAGAACGAGGAGTCCGAAAAAAAAGTTGTCTTCGCCAAGTTCGTCATTGGAACTGATGGTATGTTCTTTCATCTATAATTACCGTTCTGTTTCCGTTCTCAAACCTTCCGATTTTTCTAGGAGCGCATTCTTGGGTTCGCAAATCACTCGGAATCCAGATGGAAGGAGAGACTACTGGTAATAAATACCTACATGCAATGCTTCACAGCCTGACTGAATCTACTCAGATCACGTATGGGGTGCCATTGACATCAAAATTACACCAGAGTCGAACTTTCCAGATTGGAGGAATACCTGCACAGTCAATGCCGCCAATACGACGATCTTGATGATCCCTCGAGAGCAGGACATGGTGAGACTGTACGTCGAACTAGGGTTAGAGGATGGGCTCCTCGACACGGCCTCTGGGCGAATTGCCGTGGGGAAGATTGGGCCGGAACGGATACTAGAGGTAAGCAGTACGTCTCGTCGCTTTTTAGCGTTTCACCTTATCCTTTCACAGATTACGAAGCCTGCGTTCGAACCCTTTGTCTTGGAACCAGCCTCAATAGACTGGTGGACTGTTTACATTAGTGAGCCGTGCGTTGCTGTCCTTAGAATCACCTCGATCTGACTTCTTTTACCTCATATAGTCGGCCGGCGTGTCGCGTCTCGCTTTTCCGTCAACGATCGAGCGTTCATAGCAGGAGATGCTTGCCACACGCATTCCCCCAAAGCAGGTGTGCATTTATGACCAGACGCAGACATGACAGTCAAAGTTCTCATAGAGTCGTCGCCATAGGTCAAGGCATGAACGCCAGCATGAACGATTCACACAACCTTGGTATGATCTCTCCCGAGTCCTAAAGTTCGAAGAATCAATATAATGACGGTTTTCTTTTGTCAGCCTGGAAACTTATTTACGTTCTCCGTGGATGGGCCGATATGTCACTCTTGAAAACCGTAGGTCTCATTTCATCGTGGTTATTCGAGGAGGGTACAGAAAGGCTGACCCGTGTCACAGTACGAATTCGAGAGGCTTAAATTCGCTCAAGACTTGATCAGGTTCGATGGGTTGTACGAGGCAGGCTTCTCCGTCAAGGCTCGATCGGAGCTCTTGAAGGATAAGACTAAGCCCCCTCCAGAGCAATTTGAGTATGTCTTTGCAAAATGGCTTGGTTTGCTTTCTCAGTACCTCACACTTAATTACCACATTTTTAGAGCATTCCATGAATATGGTGGTCTTACGTCCGGAGTGGGAGTGCAATATTCCCCATCCGTCATCACTGCATCCTACCCAGGCCAGACTGCGTGCCACGCAACAAAACTGATTGTCGGTCAACGTCTCCCACCTCAAATTGTTCTTCACGCGGCCGACAACAGACCGGTCGAAATCCAGGACCTTTGTCCATCCGACACGCGCTTCAAGATCCTTGTGTTCACTGGTGACATACTTGCGCCGGCTCAGTCCGAACGTGTGCAACGGTTCGCCACCGGGATCACTCGTTCGACGTCCATAGTCAGCAAACTTGGCGACAAGGCCTTCGACATTATGTGCGTTGTTAAGGGCGAGAAGGAAACTTCCGTCTATCTCGACGTTCCAAGTGTCTTGAGGTCTCACTGGACGAAGTACGTTTTGCATCAAAGTGTATTCCTCGACATCTGCATACCTTGACTGATCGTTATCCTGTTTCCCTTTGCATCTAGAGTCTTGCTCGACGCACGGAATGCTACTCATACCGGGGGCGGCATGATGTATGAATCATATGGTGTCTCGTCCGATGGTGCCATCGTCGTCGTGAGGCCTGATGGCTACGTGGCCTTGGTGACAGCTCTTGAGGACATTGTTGCATTTGAACAGTACTTCTCTGGTTTCTTGAAGGTTTGAAGCGCTATCTTAGAAATGTAGGGTCTATACAGTCGAGGAAACAAAGGCGGGTATTGACGGGCAGCAGCACGTAAAATGGATTAGCACTAGCACGTTACTTATTGCAGAGAGTTGTCAAGTACAATGGTTGCGGTATTGAACCTGCAAAAGGGAGAGTACATAGGAAGATAGGCGAGCGAAATAAATGCCACCTTCATGCATACGGGTCCCAGTCTTCTTCTTCGTCCTCTTCACTCTCCAAGCTATTGTCCTCGTCGCCACTCTGACGACGTGCCCCTCCAATCAACCCCGGAAGATAATAGTCGTACGGCCCATTGTACTCTGCCCCAAGCCCTACGTGAAGACGAACAACGTCATGCGCGTCGTTATTTGCAAACTCCGGCAAGTTCAAAAATTCAAAGTCGTCCTCGAAGAGTTCATCGAAGGAGGCATCGCCGCCCGGGCCCTATGATACAACGAGACAAACGTCAGAAAATCAAGAAGACAGCACCACGCCAGTGTCGTCTCAGCGCAAATATTATTTACCTCTTCCCAAGACCGATGAATAACCGCATTCAATACGTATTCAGCACATCCTCCCTTCTCCAAAAAGGTCAAAATACTCCTCCCCTCCAAGAACTCGATCTGTCCGCCACAAGAAGTCTGCATTTCTTCCATCATCTTCTGAACCGTCGGTACTTCCTTGCGTGCCAGAATAATACCGACGATCTTGAAGCACAGGGCGTATCCCTCGATGAAGGTGGCGTAGACTGGTGCAGAGCGATCTGAGAGAGGGAGGTATCCAACCATGCAGAAAAGTGCGAAGTCGGTGATAGGTCGAGGGCTGCCCATGGGTGAAGGATAGATGAGGTTGTACATGTCGAGCCCCATAACGAGTTCGTCGTATGTTCCGGCGGCACGAGCTGATAATCGATCAAGGTTACCTTCTGCGAGAGGCTTGTGACAAAATATAGTGTGGCAAGGACCGACCTTGGAGACGGAACAGCATAGCCGGACTCAACCACCCGTCGATGCAGTTGTTGCATGTACACCCCCACTTGATCTTCTTGAGATATTCCTCATCCGAGGAGCCTTCCAGCAAACTCGATCCCATGACTTTCAACATCACCAGTTTGGACTTGCACATCACCTCGTCGTGTCCCTCAAATGGTACCCCAGCCCTCTCGATGAACTCCCTCGCGGCTCTCATAAGACATACCAGAGCCCCAAGCGGCGATCTATCCCAGCTGTCAGTTTCGTCCAAGTCTTGTGTGCCTCCCAACGCGAGCAGTTCTGAAAGAACATCGAGGCGAGCTCTGGAAGCGGCGAGATGTAGAAGAGTGCTGTTTGCCCCGTCTTTTTGGTGGAGGGCCGAAGGGTCGATGGCATGTGCGGAACGGATGGAGGAGATGGTGACGGCGTCGAGTTCGTTCTCGACGGACCAGTGGAGCGGGAAGTGAGAACGCCGTATCGAGTCAGAAGAGACGGTGCGCAATTTCGCCTGTAACGCTACCATATCGATCGATTGACGCGAGGAGTAGTGATTAGGGGAGGATTGGGCGCTGTCGCCCTCATGGCTAGCGTCGGGGGAGGCTGAGGGATGCATCGACTTCCTGGCAACGGCGCTATGATCAGTGTGGGTTGAATCCATAATCGTAGGAGGGGGAAAAGATGGTTAAACAATCGACCGCGAGGACTCTAGCTATATATTGTCGCATGCGTCTCGAATTTATTACCTGGGAGATAGGACTCCCATATTGAGGCCTGTATATTGGTGTTGACATGACACGACTTTGTTATTCCTGCTTCTCGAGGACTATTATGGCAAGCTTTCTCGGTTCCTTTTGCCAGAGAAAGATTTTGTCGCGAGGATCACAGTTAAAAAAAGAGGTTTGCAATCATGGAGACATACGACGGGGCAAGACAAGTGCATATCTGAGATATAACTCTCCAGCAGCGTCAATGGAAGCAACCTTTTTGATGCCACGATCTGGCGACCAATTGCACTGCCGGAACAGGAAGCCTTCCAAAACGAAAGAGATCAGTTGTGATTGCTGGTCACGGTAACCATAAAATGATACGATTCAATGATTACATGAAGCTCAGGCAGACTGCAACTACGGCTTGATAGCCATGGTTCACTTCCATACTAATAATCAAACACCCAGTCATTGGCGAAGTCAGATCCCATAGCCCAATCGAGCGGCCATTTCGCAGCTGACATCGAGTCGCCTCGCACCCAGGACCCATCTTCTGATCGGTAGAAGACGTACTGACAATAGGCGAACTGAACAACGGAGGACATTATTTCGGATACAACGTCAACCGCCCTGAACGCCTCCTCAAGTGTGATCGCATTGAGACCTCTTCCGATCCGTGCTATACCGCAAAACTGCAAAGTTTGCATAGATGAGGGTACGCATGATCGAAGTGGGGGTGAAAGGGGAAGTGATTCGGGAAGGAACCAATCTTCGATACGGAGATGACGAAGAGTAGGCGTGCGCGGAAGGATGTTGCGTATCAACCACACGAGTGTGTCCTTTTCGCCTGAGAGTGGTGGCGAGTTGAAAGTACCCCAGGACAGAGTGACTAGCCCTCTGCCGCAACATTCGATGGCCTCTAACTCTTTTACCATTGCTTCAAGGGTGTGGAAAGCTTGATCGTCATGAGTGATCGACAGGTGATTGAGATTCGTCATGCCACGAAGAAGCTTGGCCGACTCTGCCGGTCTGTTTATCTTCGTCTCGAAGTGAGTGAGCCGAGCGAGCACAGCTGGGGGAACCACCGCGTCTGGGTCCCACCAACGGTCGTCGAATCCATGGTGCCAGACAGTAAGGTTGGGATGTGATAAGAGAAAGTGTGCGAATGTAGGACGGAGGGGTATGGTCCGTGAAGAGAAGATGCGGAGCTTTGGAGTAACGCTCGACAGCGCACAAAGGTGACGATCATCGAGACCACCACAATAGGAGTCAATGGTCAAACTCCGTAGATTTGGCATAGGGAGACTATAAAAGGCCCAAATTGGGATGGACTGTTCATGAGGGTCGTACGAAAGAGTTGGTACGTCGTCGGGTCGTCGAAGTATTTGGACTTGGGGCTGAGGGTAAGATCGCAATCGCGCAGAGCTTCGTAATATCTCTCCCTTTCGACAGCTGCATTGTCGTCAACGTCTATGTGTCGATATAATATGGGCTGTGCCAGACGGAGATAATGAGAGCAGGTGCACGCCAAAGAAGCGAGAGCCCCGACGTGAGTCTGCTGAAGAACAAGGTCCTGGATCTCCAACGGGAGACTTTGTAACATCACACTGCCTATATTTTCGAGTTGATGTTAGTGCGAAATGACCTCTGTGGTAGTGAACGTACCTGCAACGGATAATGAACAGGAGGCTCGGCCGCAGATGGTGACTGTTCGGTGCAACACACGCCATGAGAATTCAATCTGGACACGAGCACTTCGGAAATTTCCGAAAGTCTGTGGCACTGGGCCACACGCGATCTAGCTTCGCGAGCGTTCATTAGTACGGTCAGTGGTGGCCCGTCGGCCCTTTAGTGCCATGGCAGGTAAGTTATCTGTGTCCATCACGAGGACACATGGCTACTAACAACTCTGGCACTAGGGGTCGAGAGAAGATAGACAAGAATGTCGACCATGTTCATATATCACTACAGTGCCTCAGCACTGCTCAGACATACTGGTAGTTCTTGAAAGTGCGGCGCACGAAGTGTACGCTGGTGAGGACAGTCGCAGCCGATGAAGTGAACGATAGCTCGGATAGATGTGGCCTACATATATCAATGAGAGAAATAGGCAGATATAGTTACACTAATAATCAGAAGTAACAGTATGACCGAAGCTTCAGACGTGTTCAGCATCACCAATCCCCTATGAAAAGCATCGGAAGGCAATGCTCTCGTCAACCTCTTCAAGGCTCCCTTGTAAAATGAGGATCATCAAGGACATAAAAATACAAGGATGGGTATTGAGAGATACTGACAAATATGTGTGGTGCCGTCCCTGCTGCTTGACGCCAGTAAGAGAGGTCGTGACGGACGGCCAACGAAATCGACCGAGACAACTGGATCCCGTCGTGAGATCAATACTGGAGACGTAATTGCAGAAACCAGAAATGCACAGACATACCATCGCCACCATGTCCTTCAAGTTCCAAACCTGGATCAATAGGGAAACTTCTGATCGGCCAGACCAGAACGACACGAGCCGATGTCCCTGCAGCGATGTATTCACCATCGGATGATACCGCAACTGAATGAACTCGACTCTATCGCTATAAGTGAGCAAATTACCTGTAGAGATTTTCAAAAGGAAAGCTCACTGACGCGGGCGTCCCAAGTCATTGTGCACAAAGCCTCTTCCGCTTCCTGAGGCCGCCCTTCGATTCCCGTCGTTGTTTCGGAATTCGTCGACGATAAACGAGAATTCAGTTCCGTCAAATCCCAGTAACAGATTATCCCATCGAAGCCCCCGCTTACGAGTCCACAGCCGTCGGAGGTAAAGGCCACAGACATGACTGAACCGGTGTGGCCCACCAAACGCTCGATCACTGCCTTCCTATCCATATCCCACAGATAGACGACACCATCCGTCGAAGCCGCAGCCACTGCACGTCCGCTAGGATGTATTTTCGCGCAGTTAACCGCCTGAGTGATGCTAGGTTTCGCCTGAGTGCCTTTGCGATCGTTTGTAGGAGGCCCGAACTGAATTATTTGGAGATCGGAATCGGTCTCTGTCTCGACCTCTTGTCTGTCCAGACACCAAAGCCAGGCCATATTGTTGACTCCTCCTACGACCATACGAAGTCTATCGGGAGCTATGTCAATAGTCAGAAGCGGCTGGCTGTATTTTTGTTTCAAAATTGGATAGCCGTTCCAGGGCTTGTCCGGTAGTGGAAGTGAGAGGCGCCATATCTGGGTGGAATTACATCACATCGATCAGGAGACTGATTGAGAACTTAGTCTATGAGCCTTGCCCTGACGAATCTATCATTCGATACTGCCACGAGGGACTTGTTATCAGGACCGAAGGACACGCTGTACATCTGGACTACGCGGCTTCGACGAGCAGCAGAATAATCTGTCAACAGGCTATATGTATATAAAGAAGACTTCAGAGAGTGGTATTATAAGAGAAGAAATCGCGCTTCACCATAAACGCCTGAGCTGCACGTCGACTATCTCGACGAAGTTGTTGTATCCGATGGCAAGGTATCTTCCATCGACGGAGAACTTGACGCAGTAAACCGAACTGCAACCAGAGGAAAACTCATAAATATTTGGAGTATGGAGGAATAACTGAATTGTTGCCGTACCGGGATCTCTCCACCCGCTCGTACCAGGTCACGTCCAGTATCGTATTTTGTTCATCATCTTCCGGTGACGGGGAACGTCCCCCATCTGGTGTATCCATGTAGTCGAGATTGTATGTTCTGATGGGTGATACGAGTTGTGAAATCAGGCCAGAAAGGAGAAACTGAGGAACGTACTCGATTGTGGAGTGCAGAATTGGAGGCCTTCCATGGCAGCACCCCATGCCGGCGAAGCAATTATATACCTCAATGGCAGTATACCATTACTGTCGAACAAGGAGAAGAAAGAGCATGAATGCTTTGATATCTCAACCCAGCGTCATCGAACAAGGAACTAGAGTGGATTCTTTGCGTCCTGGTGATAAGTTCGCTTTCGCCCCTTTGGCCTGTTGCTCTGAGCAACCGGTTACCATGCACGCAACCGTGATATCACCTGTGAACGCAGACAATGCAGCATCGCGGCAGAAACGATGCCTTATCACGAAGAAAGAAGAAGCCTGTGAAAGCCACTGCAAAGCAAGATCAATTGTGCACAGCAAAGATACAGAATCAAGAAAGAGACACAACAACGACAAATCACCCGCCATCCCGTCGCCGTCTCGTACACTCTCATCCCTAGACCCTTCATCACACATCGACATCCACCCTTCGATATCACCCATAATTAAGCGCGCCACCGCCACCTCCCCCACCCCCATTATAATACCCACCACCACCGCCATCCCGATAACCTCCACCTCCACCTCCACGACCACCTCTCCCTCCACTACCCCCCTGTCTCCTATCCGTACCTCCTCCTCCTCCTCCTCCTCCTCCTCCGCCTCCATGATGATGCTGGTCATACCCAGGACCACCACCTCCACTTCTGTTCCTCCCGTCCATAGCGACAGAGGGTTTCGGCGGTAAGCCTGACGGGCGATCCCAATACTGCTGCTGCTGCTGCTGCTGTTGATGATGATGCGGCGGAGGCTGCTGATACCCACCCTGAGGTGGTCCCCAACTCTGCTGTGGCGGAGGCGGAGGCTGTTGATGTTGCGGCGGAGGATAATAAGGCGGATAACCAGAAGGTGGCGGGGGTGGAGGTGCTTGTTGTGGTTGTTGCTGGTAAGGCGGCACCGGTGGATAACCAGGCGGAGGACTCGGCCCAGGGCCATAACCTGAGGGAGGAGGAACACCATACGGTGGAGGCTGCGGCTGTCCATAGTGCTGTTGAATTGGAGGTGCGTATTGTTGCGGCGGAGGGTACGCTCCCGGAGGCGGGGCATAAGGAATATCGCCATATCCAGGCTGAGGAGGTTGAGGATACTGCGGCTGTTGTGAGGGAGGTGGGCCCGGAGGATATTGGCCGTAGAACTGTTGTTGAGGAGGGGGAGGAGGAAGAGAATGAGGTGGCTGCATCTGCGTAGGTTGCATCGGAGGTGCGGCGTGTGGGTATGAGGAAGGCATCGGGGCTGGCGGTGGTGGAGCGCCGTTCGGCTGCCCGAAATAAAGGTTTGGAGGGGGACCGGGACCGTGCCCGAGATGGATGGGTGGCAGTTCGTAAGGCTGGCCTCGAGTCAAAGGCGGGGGCGGATTGGGGTTCATGGAAGGAATTTGTTGACGTTGCTGCTGCTGCGCCTGATGATGGTGATGGTGATGCTGTTGTTGTTGTTGTTGCTGCTGCTGTTGTTGCTGCATCTGTTGCATTCGCTGATGTTCGGCATGCTGTTGGTGCCGCCGACCACGCTTGTCGTACTCGTGGGACGCTTCGTACGTAGGCAGGCTATGGGAGAATTGGGAAGGAAAGCGAAGAAAGGACAAGAGTTGAGAATCGAAGTACGAAGAAAATCACTTCGTGGAAAAGGCCATACGTTTTTGGGTCAGCGGGCAAGGGATCGCTCCAGAAGTAGTCATGGTCAAGGGCCTCGCTTGCTGTGATCCGATCCCTCGGATTACATGTGAGCAACTTGTCCAGAAGATCGTATGTCTCTTGTCCATATCTGCATCAAACAGGCGTAAGCGAACGTGAAGCACCAGAACGGAGAACGACACCCACGCGTCGAAGACCTTGAGCAAGGTCTTTGGATGCTGAACATGATGCTTGACGCCCTCGCACCCCGGCAATAGGTCGAAATTCGGCCACGAAATCTGGGTCGGTGTACCACATAGCTGCCAGATCTTCTCCAGCTGGTCCAGGTCGGAAGTCCCAGCCAAGATCGGATGCCGAACAAACATTTCGCCTAGGACACACCTAACGAATCAAAGAAAAACGATGAGTTAGCTGAGTGCTGACAAGGATAGTCAACGGTGACTTCTGACGAACCCGATACCCCACATGTCAATCTCCCCACCGTAATGCCTCGCTCCGAGCAACAATTCTGGAGGTCGATACCATCTCGTGACAACGCAGTTCGTATACCTCCGTGCCTTGATGTATGGGTCATCCGACTGCTCAGGCATAGTCGCCGAGTGGGGATCGAAAGATCTCGCAAGACCGAAATCGGCGATCTTCAAAGAACCAGTGTTGGAGATGAGGAGATTGGCAGCCTTCATGTCTCTGTGCAGGATATGATTCTAGTTATAGAGATTAGTTGAGAAGTCTTGGCATTGAAAGAATTGAACAAACTCGATGCATGTACTCCGTGCCCTCGATGAGCTGCTTCATGTAGAGCTTAATCTGGCTGACAGTAAGCTTGACACGCTCATTCTCCAACAGGCCGGCTAGATCGTGGTCCATGTACGGAAAAACCATGTAAACAGACAACGGAGACTCTCGCCCTTTACCTGAGATTGACAAGTCAACAATGCAACCAATCGCAGCACAAAGAAAGTCATTACGAGGATGACTTACTCCGGACGACAAACAGATCCAGCAACGGAACGATATTTGGGTGTTTCAGTGCCTTCAAGATCTTGATTTCTCGCAGCGCAGTAACGGGCATGCCTTCCTTCTCGTTGTGCATCAATATTCGTTTCAGCGCGACGGCTGTCCCTGTTCTTGTCTGCACAGCTTTATGTACCTCTCTATGATCCGATGTTCAGAATTAATGTGAAAGGCGGAAAAGAGAAAAAACGCACCCAAAGGTTCCTTCGCCCAACTTCGTCGTCACGTCGTAGTCCTCCTGCTTACCACACCCCGCAAACATCCTCCCATAAACCCTCAGTTCATCCTCTCTTGGTCGGTGTACCGGCTCTCTCTTCCTCTTCCTACCCACAACCTGTTCCTCCTTCTCCTTCACCACCTTCGGGGTAGTTCCGGCCTCTTTCTTTGGCGGCGGAGGCGCTGGAGGCAAAGCCATCGACGGTGGCGAATGCACATCCGCAGGTGCGGGCGGTGGTGGCTTCTTGGGTGGCAAAGCGATCGAGACCGCGGCATGTTTTTCTGGGAGGACAGAGGGGACTTGGACGGGAGGTGGCACGACTGGGGAAGGTGGAGGTGGAGTAGATCGAGTGGGACGAGAGGCGGGAGGTGAGACGAGTCCTGAAGTCAAGGCGGCTGGACCGCGAGGAGGAGATTGTGGGACGTAGTGATCGCTTCCCCATTTGTCGCTCGTGTATCCATTGCCACGACCGTCATACGCTCGGTAGTCGTCTCGTCTCCGATCATAGTCACGGTCGTAGTCGCGATAATCGTACCGAGGAGAGGCGTACCCTGAACGGTAGAACCTGTTGTCGTCAATATTGTAGTCGTCTAGTGGTTCGCGATGGTAATGTGCATGAGAGTCGCGTCCGCGCGGAGCCCAGTTATTGATGGGATCGTCATCGCGGTAACCTCGGCGTGGATTATAACTGTTTCTGTACTCCCTGTTATCTCGCTCGTATACACGGTCGCGTCGAGAATCGCGAGGCGGTCCAGGGGAGTAGGATAGTGGCGTGGGTGATGGGGAGACTGGACGTGCAGGAAGTCGGTGTCTTGTTCTGGAGACTGAAGGAGACGCAGATGATGGTGACAATGAAGTTGAATGAGATGAGCGTGAGGAGCGTCCCCGTCCCCTACTCCTGTCCGTTTCTCTCTCCTTGTCGTTATATGGATAGTCTCTCGAGTCTCCAGAGGCCGTAGAACGAGGCCGTGAGCGATCCTGGTAAGATTTATCCTCATAATCCCGTCCGTTACGATCCACTGGACGGTCCCTGTGCCTCGAGGTGTGGCTCCTGGTGTCCCTGTCCCGACTCGAAGACGCTGAAGGCTCCCAATGGTCGTCCGTCTTCGCAGGGATATACGTGTCCGTCCTCGACTGCGCGCCACCGCTCCTCTTACGGTCTCCGCCTCTGTCCCTCTCCCGCTCCCGTTCTCTATCCCTCTCCGCGATCAACCGCTCGTCCTCCTTCGACCGCTCATACGAAGCCTTCTTCCCCTTCTCCACCTCCTTCTCCCTCCCAACCGAGTCTCCACGCGCGCTATTGCTCCCACTATCTCCTCCACCACCTGCTGTCTTTTTCTTGAAAGGAAACGGAACCTTCACCTTCGTGGGTTCAGGCTTGCCCGCTGTGGCGGCAGAAGACTGTCTCTCCTTGATCGCGAGCGGTGACCGACTCCTAGACCGACTTCGCGCACGCCCATTACGCGTAGGAGGCAGATCATCGACTTCACCGTCTTCCGGTGAGGACGAAGCGTGCCTCTTCGTAGCTCTGGACGTTTCAGGCGATTTGGACGCCGTCCGTTTAGACCCCGAGCCCATTCAGCGCTGTATTGTCTATTCGGGGCTGAGATGCTGTTACGAGACCGTCAACCATATGCATTGGGTTATTCCTTACCTTTCTATGCAATCTCTGAAGTACTCGTCGAGGCTTTTCGGTGGTTGAAGGTAGCGAGGTAGAGGTAGAGATGCAAAGTGTTCGCCGGAGAACTTGAAAGCAGCAAGGCATTGATTACGTAAGCCAGGTTCGTCAAATTCCAGGGACAGCCTCTGGCCCTCTGCCATTCGGCCGCGTCGTCAAATCCGTTCTCAGCGTCAATTCCTTTTGGCACTGAGATACACAAGTCTGCAAGAGAATGTGCTGTATGGGGTAGAGTGAATGATAATATTAATGAGCTCCAGGGTGTGTTGTCGGTTCTGCAGATGGGCATGAGAAGGGCCACACAATAAGTGTGGCGTCAGTGGGCTCAAATCTACTGACCTCGTAAAGGCTGTAACCACTTAGAATAAATTAAGAAAGTGGTATACATCTTCCATGGACAAAACCGCACGGGTCAAATCAGGAGAGATAAAGATACACGAGTGCCCCTCTGGCCTCAATATACAGCTCCCTTGCACATCCTTCAGTTCATCAACTTCGTCGGCTCCGCTCCCAACCCCTCCTTAACCCTCTGTACTCCCCTCCCAGCCTTCATACTCGGCCACCCAAAGCTAACTCCTCCATCCGTACTCCTATCCGCTTCCCCCTTCCCATCTCCCTTCAAATGCTCCTCTACAAGCTTGCACAACCCCTGCATCGTCGTCCAAGGCGGATTATACCCTATCCCTCCCTCGGCCGCTCCTTTCCTAGCTCTCGAGTCATCCCAAATTAGATGCACCATCGTTAATGCAAACAGCGAAGGCTGTAGGTTGATTAGATCGCCGTTAAGTCGGGGCACGAAGCGTGAGATATGACGAAGTAGAGGGTATGAGGAGAGCTGGAGAAACATATGCGACAGATGAACGGCCTCGAAAATATGCGCAAGCAAAAGCATAGCCGTCGCCGACATATTCGGAAACACCGTCAGTCCATCCGTGAGGACGTTCAACGTCTGGTACACATCTCCATAAGTCACAGGCGGACCCGCATCCGTGATCGCGAACGCCTGTCCTCCGATATCCGGTCCTGCGGTCTCCGAGTCTGGAGAGCCGATGAGATCGAGTAGACGACGCTCGTAGCATAGATGTGCGAGGGATCCGTTCTCGACGTAGACGAAGTTATGGAGTATGTCGGCGATCCAGGTGGGGTTGGTTTGACGGACGAGGTAAGAGCCACAGAGTAAATCTCCGCCGGGGCCATAGATCCCATTCCCAGGTCGAATACATCCCGTCCTCAACACCCTTTCTTCTCCAGTTCCAGTCGGCGTCCTATCCGCCTGCCTGACGATCCTCTCCGCCTGGATCTTCGAAGCCGCGTAATTGGAGAACATATCCTCATGCCGCTTGGGGACCAAGGCGTCGTCGTCCGTGATATATTGCACGAAGAAATCGGGCTGTTTCTCCCAAGGCCATAGCCAGAATCTCGCTCTCCTGACCGATATGCTGCCCGAAGAGGTATACACAATGACCGAAACACCGATACGTCTCGCCGCATCGACGATATTCTGCGTTCCGTTGACGTTAACCTTTGATGAAAGGGGTAAAAGCGAAGGGTGCCGTTCGTAGAACCGGATATTGGCGGCAGTATGGAATACTGTAATGCCTATATCGGACACGGTTGCATCGGATGACGAGGGGGAGATATTCGCGGTAGAGGAAGAAGGCCATGGAGCGTGAAATGCCTCATCGACAGCCTTCTTGTCCGAAATATCGACTTGTCGGAAATCCACGTCTCTCGCCGGACCCGTCGTCAAATCTTTCCGTCGTGGGGGTCTAATATCCAGCACGCGTATCTTCTTTGGGTCTTCTCCTCTCTCTAACAAATGACGCACGATCCATCCACCGAGGAACCCTGCCTATCCGAACACCACCATCACCCGCCACCGTAAGTAACGAGCAGAAGCGAGAGCGAATGCTAGACAAACGCACCCCTCCAATAACGATGTATCTCCTGCCTGTCCTTGGTGGCAAAACACCATCTATCGTGATAGGTTTCTCTCTGATCTCCTTCGCACCCTGTCTCGCATCCTGTTCTGTCCATCGTTTCGGAGAGAATGTGGCGGCCTCAGGTAGAAGACGCATGATTTTCGCGTCATTTGCGCGTATATAGAGATATAAGAGGCCTATAGAAGCGAAAAATGTAGAGAGTAGGACGAGGAAGGTCGACATAGTGTGGTGAAGGTGGCGGTCTGCGTCGTGTTGCTTATAAGTGGACAGAACTTATGAGGTATTGAGACGAGTGTTTCGGCCTAAAAATGTCGAGGTATGAGCCGCAGAGTTATACTGATCGAGCAGCTGCTATCAACACGGAGAGTTTCTCGAGCTCAATGCTTATGAACTGGACTGAATCGAAGTGGCTTACTCACAAGGAGTAGGCAGCGAAGACGCGTTACCTACCAGGACAAAGGACCACGTCGAGACGACAGATGCTGTAATCAGCACTGACAAACAGATCTGAGTTTTAGGAGCGAAGATTATGCATCCAGCGGTGTGAAGAGCCGGCACTAGGACAGTTTTGGGTGTCTGCAGCCATAATATCAAGGTGAGAGTCCCGGAGGGGTTCGGAAGAAGATGCCGTTTTGCCGTCAAAAGGCTGAGTGTCCTGTTGAGTTCTGGTGAGCTTTCCATTTAGATGCTGCAACAAAGGCCTGCTCCATTGGGTCCAAATTCACGAGCACATCCAACTTGGTCCTGTAGAGCTGCAGCGTCCATGACTCGGATCTGGCGATGACAGACGTGTATTGAGCCCCGGGCCCGAGACCAATTCTCGGGTGGCGCAAGGTCCTCAAGACGCCACAGCGATCACACTCTATCGGACGGTTTGCAGGACTGCATGCGGCAATCGGAGGTCCATAACAGACAGATGTATCCATAGCACGTAAAAGCAACAAACTCAAGGAAGGGAAGACAGCAGAAAAAGACCAGCGTAATAGATCCTAGATCGTCCTCTTCGCTCCTCTCATCCTCGTCCTCGCCCTCGTCCTCACGCTCTCTACACTCCACATGTGCATCCCTTCGCCCACGTTCTACAGCAGCGAGCAATCCTCCATCGTCAACTACCTACCAACAAGTGAACACGAACGATACCCAAGTCAAAGACGAAGGCCATGGCATCGAAGCCACATGTGAGTGCTCGAGCGCTAAGTACTCACGCAGGCGGGGGAGGCGGTGGCGCAGGTTCGCTCGGTGGCGGCGCCGGAGCCCCACCCGTCTGACCTTGACTCTGACTCGCACTATCACCCGGAGTCCCATAGCCAGACGTGACTTGCTGTTGGCCATAGTACTGAGCATACTGCTGTTGTTGGCTTGCTTGCCAATCTTTGAACTGCTGAGAATCGACATCGTAGCCGAACGCAGCCCTGTAAGGTTGAGAATGCAGAGCATTATTAAGAGTGGGAGTAGTATGTGAATAGGGAGGGGCAACGGGGGGAAACGCACCAGTAGGCTTTGAACGCTTCGGTGTCCGTGGCAGCTGGAGGTGCTGCTGGCGTCGCAGCTGACGGAGGGCTCATCGATGAAGCAAGGATAGCAGCAGAGCTGGCATCTGGCGGAGGCGGAGGTGGCTGCTCGCCTGGAGGGGGTGGAGGTGCGGGCGCCGAAGGTGGTGGCGGCACATATCCCTGCAATATTCAATCAGTCATCACAGTTAGCATGGTCGGAGTCTCATAGACCCAAGATAGGAAAGAAAGAAAAAAGGGTGCTGTCGATGCCGAGCCAGAACCACGCGAAGGAGGGCACAGGCCTGAAGAGCAAACAAAACGCAGACGCGTGGGTCGGTTGAGCAGAGGTTTTATACATACGGCATAAGCGCTGTAAGCGGCGTACTGGGCCTGTGCTTGGTGGAGCTCCATCTGTTGCTGGTAGACTTGTGCTTTAACTTTTGCGTGTTCGGCGTGGACGACTTCCAGTAGGTCTTCGGTTAGTACTTTGGCACGGGCAACTTGACCTTCGTCTGGCCCCCTGTGAAGCGAAGTGCCTGGTCAACGAGGAAAGCAAGAAAAAGGTCACTGCATAGAGAACGCACGTGATATGTATGTGCATTGGCTCGTCGGATTCACGACCTGTCTCCTGATCGACGAAGCCAGAGCCGATACCTTTGATTTGAACACGCGTTCCCGTTTCCTGCTGGATGTATTTCACAAACATACCCTATCAGAGCAAAAGTGCCATATTTAGTAAATGTATGAAACGTGTACGGCGCGAGGAAGACACGCACCGTGGGCCCGACAACCTTCGCCCTAACGTTGAAGTTCCGAATACTCTCCAAGCCCACAGGAATCTTCTCTTCCGGCCATTTTCTCTGAAAAAGAAGTGGCGGACGAGTGAAATGTGTGAGACAGAAGACAAACCACGGCAGAACATTAGCAGGACACGCACCCGTTCTCGCCTGACGTCCTTCTTGTCCTCCACCAGGGAGCCCATGTCGATATTGAGAAGGTCATTGACCTTATCAATTGCCTTTTGGAGAATCTCCTGGGTTGTGGCTGCGATGTGAAGGTAGAGCGGGGGGTCCTTCTCGTTAGCTTTTGTACGGTCGGGGTACCAGACACCCTTCGTGCTAACGGATGCACCCGTCTCCTCGTGAATCTATAGTCAGAAGTCAGCACAATATTACGACCTACTCTGTGCTATCCCTACTAGTAGTGCAAGTGTACTGCGCGCAGACTCGAGATATATAATTACAAGACTCACCTGGGACTGTGTCGATCCCTTCGTCAACATGTATCGGTTCCGCACATCGTTGATATCGATATCATGCGTAAACTCAGCATCGAACGGGTCCTTCCCTCCACCGCCTTCTCCTCCTCCTCCACTTGAATGGGGCGTCGACCCTCCACCACCACCACCACTGAACTGAGCCGCGATTTTTGCCGCGATGGCAGCCGCTGCAGCTGCGGCTGTTGATGCGGACTTGGTCTCATCGGATTTCGCAACCTTCGAGGGTGCAGACGGAGAGACAGAACCTGCTGCAAGGTCCTCCGGTGCATCTGAGAATTTTCTTTTGGATGCCATGGCGGAGGAAAGGGTCGTGTGGTAAGTGTTGGAGGGGAAAGAAAGTCTGAAAGTGCTCAAGGGTGTCGCGCTGACAGGAAGCAGGAAGCCGCCGGAGAATGCCGATGCCGAAAGAATCCCCAAGTGTGACTCTGTGATGTGTGATCCATAAATAACGCGTGACAGCGTCGCGTCTCGTCGCGTCGATCACGGCAGTTGAAGCGCGTCATTCCTCCTTGTTTCGTTGCATCATCATGATGGTCCGCCCCCACCGTATAAATCTTTCGACATGCTCGGTTTTGTGTTCTCCTGATTCTGTCTCACTTCTATCAAGTCCGTGCTCTTTCCAGCTTTCAGTCGTCCAGTGTACTGACCAATGTACAGGTTGACACTACAGTTCTATTGACCAACGTAAGATGTGGGTCGCTCACTTTGCTCCTAGTCTCGTGCTGTCAAGGCTTGCACCGAAGACGCCCCTGTCGCTTCTTGCCTTCGCGGGGGCACTTCCAGATTTCTTATTCTTTGTCTTCACCATCTTAGGTATTTGCACTTTTTTCCTCACCGGTTTACTCTCTAACATTCGTCTTCGGTGCATCAGGCATTGAAACAGCCAAGTTCAGCGACAAGCTTGATGACCCACTTTACAAGAGCCCAACTGGTGGTCCCGGCTCCCACTGCTTCCCATATGACTGTGATAACCCCTACACTCACAGTTTTACCGGACAAGCCACAATCGGGGTCCTCTTCGCAGCCGCCACCACAATTCTTTATCGTCTCCCAATCACATCATTCATCACCCTTTTCGTCGCAACACTCACCCATTATCCGCTCGACCTTATGGTCCACCGCCATGATGTCGCATTCACCACCTCCGAGCCCGTGCATCAACGCCACGGTTTCCCCCTCTTCGACTATCCCATCATCCTCTTTCTCGTCGATGTGGCCCTCTTCATCGGCCCTCTTTGGTTCCACCTCAGAACTGCCAACCCGGGCACCGATAAGACCCAGAGGAAAACCGCTGTGAAGGCTTATGGCGCCGCTGCGTTGGCTGCGATCCTCGTGGAGGCTAATTTTGCCTTCATGGGCGCGCCAACACATCAAGTCAGGTTGATACACGCCCCTATCTTCGCTGCGGAAATCGTAGGTATCTCTTGGGCCATGGGAAAGATGGAGGGGTATACGGATGTGGCGGGGAAGAAGCAGTTGACGCCCCAAGAGGCCAAAAACGCAATGAAGAAGGTTACGTGAGTAGTGTGGCCCAGGGGGAAATAATGAGGGTATGAGCTATACGGGCTAGCTTTTTGCGCCACCGACTCTGGATGAGTGCGAATTTCGTGAAGTTCCGTGCAATGTATTGTATCTCGAGGCCCCGGCTATGTATCTCTTGTCCAAGTTACCTTGACCTCCTTGCTGTATTATCTTGTCATATCTTCACCAAACCCTTCCAACCGTAACTCAACGCGACATGTTTGTTCGCTATATATACGACGTGATAATCCGGTGATTGAATGACGGAATAACGCTGGCTCGCTATCATTTCCTTAACCGCATCATAGTGCACCAGTCAAGTACTGGCTTCACTACTGAGCAGAAGGATGCGATCTGGGGTGAGACTGAAACAGCAATTTCAAGGAACATCGGAACTCGGAAGTCAAAAGATGGTGAATAACGTTAGGCTGAGAGCGCCCAGTCTACTGGACCTTCACAAACGTGATCTCGGCGATTATTCGAGGATAGACGTGGACCAATCATTAGACCGTCACGAAAACTCTTCAGCTTGAGGGCAGCCATTTTGTACCACGCCACCGACGGACTGCGAATTGATCGGGGGATGCCGGGACGAAGTGGTTGACACAGAGCGCCTCACGACATTATTTCGTCCAACTTTCGGTCCCTCCGTTACTCGTGGCCAGAAGATCTACTCCGAACGGTCAACAAGGCTTTATAGTGCTTTATATCTTACTCTCCCGCGGATATTGGGCTATCTGAACTTGGAGAACTGATGAACCGGCCGTTTCGGTGGGAGATTGACTGCGACCGATGACTGGGAACTCGTCAAAGGATTTTAACGTTAATCTGGTGCTAGTCTATATACTCTTCGGCTATCTTGTTGTTGCTGCATATGTTCTAGCTTATCTGTGAGTATACGTCATCCTAGGATCTCCAGTACACTCAAGAACGGAGCAGTGTCGTGGCGCTCGAAGAAATGGTGCTTAAACCTTATTTCTTGTTCCCTGTTTTGGACAGGTCGATGTTTCCTTGTTCCTCGCCGCATGCAGGGTGCAATCCGGTCTCTTCGTGGGCAATGCTGTTCAAAGAGTCTCACAGGATTATGGGTCGGTGTATAGGTGCGCATAATCGCATGTATCACACAAGGCGGAAAACTAATAGGCCTGTGCCCGCAATTTCCGTTTTGCGCCACTGACTGTTAGAATTGCCCGCCGTACATCCGTTCCTTGTTCGCTGGAGTTCCCCATTCTGCATAATACTCTTGTCGGTCCAGCATGTCCGCGGCTTCATTCCTCGGTCACTCAGACAAGGTCCAAATCAGACGACTAGGAGGTCGTGGTGCCGGACATGCGCCACACTGTGCTGCGTCTAGACTCGTTGGCTCTTCTTCCCCTTGTCCTCTCCCATTTATAAACTCTTATTGTCGGATCTGGGCACGATTGCGGCCCCGGTGCTTCTTATTTCAATCAGACAGGAGAAACCACCACCACCCTGGTTGCAGGCTTCCCCTTGTGTCTCCCCTTCGGGACCCTTGTGCTCCACGGTCTGTTCCGTCTCTGATCCCTTTCCTTCTGTGACGCTTTTGGAATGGAGATAATAGCCTACTGCTTGCCAACCCCTTATGCCGCTGTTCCCGTGGAATGGAGGGTGGCGTGTCTAACTCAGACTCCCGTAAGCGAGCTCTGACAGTGCGATTAACAGACAGTCTGTTGCTTTGTTTGGTACAGTATTGTGTCTCTGTGTCGTTTCACTGTAGTGCCTCTCCCTATAAGTTGGGAGCGTCTCGAATATGCCGGTGCCCTTCGTCCTTCGTCCCATCAACAGACCATTACTTTCGAGTCAAACACTGTCGGACAGGTGCGCCCATTGAAACATGACCATCAAGTCTATCTCTGACATTCCTCCGCTTCAATGAAAAGACCTTTTCTCCCTCTTTTGGCGTTGTTGTGTCTTCATCCTACCCGATAATGCACTCAAATTACTTGTTCCTCAAGAATGGATATAGCTCTGGACCCCGCCTCCTCCCTCCTCCTCTTCCCCCTCCCCCTACTCCATCTCCACCTCCACCGCCGCCACCGCCGCCACCTCCTCCTCCACCACCTACCTTGAACATGGAACTGGTCACAATGAGGGCATTTGGTGATAATCACTGGTACTTACTGCTCAAGGATCCAATGCTGGGTGACCGGATGTTCCATCTCGACCATTTCAAATCACAGGAACATCCGTGTCTCGAGGTTAAACTTCCGGATGATTGGCTGCAAGATCTTCTGCAAGGTGGTCTCTGGGTCGGTCGTGTCTCCCGTTCACATCTACTGGAATGGATGGAAATGGAGTTGGAGCACTTCACACAGGCCATCTATAAGGACAAGAGCCGCGCAACAATCAGAGACAAGCAGAGACCGTGCTACATATGGTGCCTCGATGCGCTGGACTTTTTGAACAGGAAAGTTGCTAGTGGAGAGCTTAGAAAGAACTCCTCCTTCGTACGGCCCTCAGAGAGCGAGGTCACGCAGCATTTTCGTAGGCTTTACAACGTGGGAAAACGCCACACTGTGCCATGACTGCCCTCAACAAGCGCACTATAGGTCAGTCACACCTTCAGGATTCTGCAACGCCCTTCAAGAACTAATTCATCCCCAGTCTCTCAGCCGGAGGCATGACTGAGCCCACCCAAGCATCCAACCACGACACACATATCGCCAGAGGTCAGCACTTACTGCCTGCAACATCAGAAGCCTGACGTCTTATAACCAGTGATACCACACAGAACAGCTTCGTTCTTCCCCCTGCCATGTCCTTCCAAACTACAATTGGGAATTCCGTCCTTCTATGAATGCGCTATGTATATTACTTGTACGCTTATCGAATACTATTGCCTCTACAAAGGTGTAGAGTAGTGCTAGTACCGCTAATAGGGCATACTTATAGCAATGTAACCTTTGTACCCCCAGCTATGTTTGGCTGCGGGGTGATGGATTTGATTGCCATAAATATTCCTGATGCTGCTTTCAATCAGAGAGATGTAGAAACCGTTGACCTGCCAGGCTCGAATCTCGTCGTGTTGAAGCGGGAGCGCTCCCGCGCTCAAATTCCGCTAAGGATCATATCTGAAGCGCGCTTCGCTTTCCAAGCAAGAGACTCAATGCGATTTCGAGTCTGACAGGTAAGCGCGGCTTCATGTTACACATTGAGATCATGTACTTATGGAAATGCAGAGCGTTATCGGCACCTTTGCACGGACTCTTGTGACGTTAGGTCGGATTTGATTGTTCTTGCGCTAATTGTGCTCTTGTGTAACAGTACAGGCCAAATTATGATCCAAAAAGTGCTCCGATATCACATTTCGTTGCCCTACTCGAACCTACTCATTCCAGGTACGGAAAGGCAGGTACGTTATCTCCCTCGAAAAACCGGTACAACCTTCTCTCGAGAACTCGTATATTGTGTATCAACGCAGAAGGCCTAATGCAACGAGGAAATAATAAGGTGATATCAGGAGTGGAGAGTATTGCAAAGCACGCACGGCAACGTCAGAAGCTCCCCGGTTTCCTGAGAGAAAACGTCATACATAACAACTCCCTGTTAACAAGTAAGTAAGCTCCTGGATCATATCGAATGCGAAAACGAAAACTGGTGACATTGGATAGTATTCTTGTACCCTCCCACAGGACGGGAACTTCTCTATTCTCGATATGATCTATGTAGGTCAACTTCCGTACCCCCTTCTAGTGATATGGGTCACGCGTGTAAGCTACGCGTGTTCAAAGCTGTAGGGAATGCAATATACCTCAAATTTCGGGATCTGCCCAGCATACCTGACCTGTACCCAGTCTAGCACTCTTACATGACACAGGGCTTGTGATTCCAAATAAGTCTCCTCCAATTCCTGTGCATGATGTACCCTCCACTCCATAGGCCCAAATATATAGTCCGGCTCTTGGGAGTACTCAAAAGGAAGTGACATGGCCTTATGAGCTCTTGTCAGACGATTGGTCGGGTCATCGATGTTGGTCCGCGAGATAGTAAACGAACAAGGGCAGTGAGGGCTGAAAGCAACGTTCAGATCTTTCGAGTATTTTGCGGGCCAATAACATGTAGTAATATGCTTACCATAGAGTCAGCGCATCGACTCTGACGTCGTGGACGATGTTGCGACAACGTGGACAGTCCACATCAGAGAGGTTATTGGGCCTGGATTTGCGCCGTATGATGGCATTCATCTCGACTACGATCCCGGGCTTCATCGTCGCCCGCCATTCGGAAGGGTCAATCAGGTTGAGCAAAGAGCTACTCCCGGCGGTCGTCAATTCGTAATCCCCTTTGACGATGAATCTGTTGCCTTTTCGGCCATGAAAGTACATCCTGAGCATCCCATCAAAAAGCTTTGCCGAGGACGTCAGGAGTGATTATTCGTGGCAAAAACGGAGTTACAATACCTCGGGAGTAGCGCAGATATCCAGAGGTACGTCAACGATATGATTGTACATGTCTCGAAGCCGGATAGGTGCCGTGTCGACGGTCGCTCCGCCTTCCCAGGTGTATCCAATACTTATGGGAAGGTGCCTCGTCAAGCTGTCAACAAGCGTACGCCGGGGTTGGTGCCCCATTTCATCTGTTGTTACACTGGACCAAAGATAATCAGCAGGTGACGAAAATTGAAAGGGGTATAGTGAAAGAATCCGACAGCATACCACTGCGCGAACGACATCACAACTTGGATAGTCTTGATGTGATATGACAACTGCCACCGTAGCTTTTTTACTTCGTCATCCTTGACAAGCAAGCCCCATCCGATCTTCCTCCAGGATTCCATCATCATCCGTTCTGATCCTCCCCTTTGTAGTTTGTCCTGGTAAGTCGTGACCTTTCTCTCGAGAATTTTCAGGACATTATGCGACGATTTGAAAGCATTACAGCCTGCCTGGACCAAGGCAGGCGAAAGCTGAGATAGTTGAGCCGAGGTCGAAACTGTGGTGACCATTCGAAGGATGCGGACCAATGAGTCGACTTCGACAAGTAGCATGAGATAGTCCTCCGATCCGCCAGAGCTAGCATCTAGTGACCTCTTGACCTTCTGACCGAGATCAAAGAGGGCGACAAAGTCACCAAGTGCACCGAATGAGAAGGCTGCGATCGAGGACATGGTCGCCAGTGCTAGAGAGCGAGGTGCGAGCGACGTTTCTACTGTGTGTGTTGGAGGGCCAGGCTATCGATAAGTCGTCGACAAAGCAAGATATGTGCGGCCAAGGATACGGTCCGTGAGGGCAATTCCCGGACATGCGTCCCAAGGATTACGGGAAGACGTCGAAATCAGCGCCAGGGAACAGTCATGAGGACCAAGCATGGGAGCGTCCTGTTCCGGCCCATGAGCGCTCACTCTGTGCATTGCACGCGGGAGAGAAAAAAAAGTTGACCGCCTCCCGTGTCACATCCGGATACTTAACGGCTGGAGTTTCGCCTCTGATCACAGTCCTTTTTTAACCAGGATTGTCGGCGCGCAGAGAAGTCGGAGAGAGTGTGGGCAACTTCGCTGCTATGTAGGCTATGCCACAAGATGTCAGAACTTGTGAATGGGATCGGGTTTCAAGTTTCAACAGTTCTGCAACAAATGCCGATGGACTCAGAAAGGAGGGCCAAGTACGGCGGAATGCAATAAAAAACGACGACGGCCGGCACTTTCCGGCGCCGGATCATCTGTGAAGCTTACTAAGTTACTTGCCACCTTCCCTTCGACTTTCGTTTGACTCACTTGAGTTTAGATCCTTGCCCAACAAATGACCCCGCATACATACGTACCGACGCACTGTATTCCGCTGCGTGGATATACTCCAATATTGGAATGAGTGATTAGTCTGCCGTCTAAGGAGGTGTCAATGACGTGATGGTACACTGGCATTTGACAGCATCGACCTCAGAGGCTGTCCTATGAGTACAGTCCGGTGTGCCATTCACCTGGTCTGTGCTACCTGTAATAATCCCCGTTTAGTATGGACATAACCTCATAACCTCAGAGTAGTATAAGAGCTGAGCGCTGAGCAACCTTGGACCGGTATTGTGGAGGGTTCTACTGTCCGATCCCTTGCTCCTCTCGGAACACACTCAGGTATGTTCGGTCGCGTCGTTGCTCCATAGAAAACTACAGACTTAGGTCGATTTATTAGCATATTATGAATTATGGGTCCACGGAGGCACCCGCTCGGATAAGAAAGTAAGACTGCATGAGAGCGCATTGTGACAAGCTCGCTACGCAATATGGCCCAATGTCCTCGTTCTAGATGCGGGCCGTGGCCTGTCTCCAACGAGCTCGAGAACTTATCGGTAAATATCTATCTGGAGGACTGGTATATTGTGTATCAAGGCTGAGGGAAGCTGGACCTTCACCCAGACCTTCCTGCTTCACCACCGATCTTCAAGTCACCATGGTTTATATTCAGCCTCGGGACGACTCCAACGGGTACTGGAGTCTCAAGGTCGGAACCTTGAATCAGGGTGGGCAGATATACAGCTTTCACCCCGTAGATGGATATCGAGTATCGTCCCTAGACAGGTTACACCCCTGCCTCATGAATTACAAGATCGGAATCCTTCGCAGGAATCTAGTAGACTTCGAGGCGAAGTTAAGACGTTGTAGTCAAGTCGTCCAAGAAGCAGAGCCATTTCCAACCCAGGCATCTCGCAGCCATTTCTGGTGTACCCAGTTGTGGGACCTTCTGGCTCTGGAAGAGGAGAGGGAGCACCCAGATAATCCATTCATTCACCCACCCTCGGAGGCAGTGCGTACAAGATATTCTCGACAAGTCTCAACAGCTTTCACACAGTGAAGGGAGCGTACTTTGTGTCCACTCTTTTCTCGATAATGATCTATGGTGAGTGGCCCCAATTTACGACCACCTCTCATATTCTTTCCTCATTGTTTTCTGTAAGCTTTTCACTAGCCTCGAGACCTACCGTCGAACTTGCGTCATTTCTAGACCATTGGTCGCATTGCACGCTTATGCGGAATATGGTTCTATAAACCATTAGCCTATACTACTACAATATATTGTCTACCTTGTTCTCGAATAATGACTCCCTGCGCTCCCGTGCGGTTTCATCAGTCAAGATAAGGCGCATATCCCTTCATGTCCACAACCCGATATAGTTCTCTTCGTATGGCGTGTATATTGTGATTCAAAGCAGAAGGGCTGCCATATATCATATATCATCAGTCAAACATGTGTGGGCACAATTGAGAGGAAATCATCAATTTGAAGAGGAACCGCACTTGCAGTCCATGAATGCACGTACTGCAAAGACACTAAACTCCCGTCTTCTTCAGACACTACATCATGCTGCTGATTCATGCATAACGACGCCCTGCTGATTGAGATCAGTGCCGAACATTGAAGTATCCTACGAAATCTTCATACATTTGATAATGTCCTAGTTCCCTTCCATAGCACAGGCACCTCATGACCTGCACTGTCATGATACGTCAAGGGCTGAGTACTTCAAAGATGTGACTCTGTGACAGGCTGAGGTCCGTCACAGAGGGTGGTCTATGGATTCCAGGAGAGACACCTTTCGCTCTCTCCTCTCATCTCCTCTTGTGGCGGCTCGCTCGGCAAATCCACTCTGCTTTGCCTCGCCGCTTCCTGCTTGTGGCACCCACCCTCCACACCCTCAATCCATGGATCTTTCCTTGTTTCTGGGTACTGACTACCGGTTCATTTGTAGGATCCACCGCACCACACCCTGTTCTGCTCGCCCGCCCTATCCACACTCGCTTGGATCCTGCTTGCGGGCCGGGTCCATCAGGAAAACCTCCCAAAACTATTTATTGGTAATTATCGCATATTAGCCAAAATTATGTGGTATTAGGATGTATGAAGTTTATACTAGTGCTCCCAAAAATTATTTCTACTGTATGCATAACTTTGAACTAATTATGCATAACTTTCACTACTTATGCAATGGACTAATTATGCACATTTAGTTCACATTGCTCATAATTTTGCCTCAACTAGGCCATCTCACAGTACTTCAGCCTTTCACCACAGTCAACACCGAGCTCACAGTACCAAGGAGTACCAGAAAGGGTGATGAAGGCAGTTATATTAAAGTAGTATATGATTCTAGGTCTACTACATGCAGCATCTCATACAATACAATTAGGATAGTATATCCATACCTGGAATATAGGATGGATTCCAGGAGAGCCAAGGGTACAGAAAATAGGCAGGAGAGGAGGTCAAGAGGACAAAACAAAGAGGGAAAAAGGAAGCAAACAAAAGAAGAGGGCGATGAAGCAAAAGTAAGGGGCACCGTAGGTATGCACAAGACTGAATATGAAAGCCTAGGTGAGAAGCACAGAATACAGGGAGCGGTCAAGGCGAGAGCGAGAGCAAAGCACAGGGCAGTACAAAGAGAGGGCACAGGTGGAGAGATACATATGTGAGTGAGTAAGAATATAAAGGGGAGAGAGAGGAAGATGATGGCCATACTTCAGAGATGTCGAAAACGACCAGGAAATTAGGGTGGCGAAGGAGAGCGACAGACCAATCGATGAGGCCAAAAACCTGAGTGTAAATGCGAGTGCGCGGAAGCAGATGCAGATGCAGATACAAATACCGATGCAAGTCTAGTCACGGGTAGTAAGCATGCGTGCAGAAAGGAGAGTGCGAGAGGATGAGTGTGAGACGGCACGTGAGACGGTGAGCGAGCATCAGAGCGGATGAATGAAAACGCAACAATGACGCGGGCGTGGGGCGGGGATACAATCGCGAACACGAACGCAAGCGCGGGCGCGAACAGGCATGTATGTAAGAGGGTGAGTGCGAGGAGGTGTGCGCAAGATTGTGGGTGTGGGAATGCATGTTTGCGTGATGGTCATGAGAATGTCAACACGAACACAAAAGAGAGGGGGAGAGTACGTACTTGTGAGGGGGTGCGAGCGAGAGGGCACATGCAAGAGGGTGCATGCGAAAGTCGTGCGGGTGTGCGGATTTGCAGAAGAACGGTTGAGAGCTTGCCTGTAGGAGGACGAACGTGTGAGAGGGCAAAATACGATAACGGAAGCGGGAGAGGGAGTGTACAAGGGAGGATGTGGGCACGATAGTAGAACAATGTATACCGAAATGAAGACTGTGGATGCGCAGGGGAAAGAGAAAGAAAGATTGAGCGAGGCAGGTCAAAAGAAAGGAGAAATGAGGCTAAGCAGGGATATGGAGGAATGAAAAGATGGAAAACGCACCCGAAGAGATCGTCGAAGACGGAAACGACGACCTCGTAGCCACTAAGGAGACTCACCCAGATACTGTTGGGCTCTCCGAGGGACCGAAGATAACACTGACGGGGTTGCCGTGGTTGGTTTCGGGACGTTGCCGACCTGTAATAGACAAAATAATTTAACTGAAAGAGGAAGAGACATACGACGAGGAAGCGGAATAGCGCAGTGTCCGGGTGGAGGCAAGGTTAACCATATACGTGTCCCTTTGACACTCCTTCCCCCCCTGATCTGAAGCTGAGCCTGCAGCGCGCCACCGAACCTTCATGAGGCTACCGCTACTTATCGTCGCATGCTGCTTTGTCCACCTAGCTGTCACCGCCGCGTCCTGGAACGTCACCGGTTTAGCTGAGGGTGTCGTTAAGCGACGATGAAGAGGTGAGAAAGGGGAGGCGAGGGTCAGTACACCGTTGACGGAGGAAGAGGGAAGAAGATACAACGAAGTTCAGGGAGACTGCGTGAACGAGGGAGGGAGAGTAGCGAAGATGATGGAAGCGGCACCCAACGCCATCGACTTCACGGAGCGAATGCGAATGCGGGTGTGTGTGTGAGGTCAAAAGATCGAGAGTGAGAGGACGAGCGCCGAGCGGTAAAGGAACGAGAACGAAAGCGGGAGTGGGCGAGGAAGAGAAGACGTAGATGTGATGAGGGAGATCGATGGGGGAGAACGTCGAGGGGAAACGTCGATAGGGGGAAAAAAATCACCACAACAACAACACAATCATCAAACAGAGCACGAAAGGGAAACTGAAGGTTGAGAACACATACAATAGCCCAAGTCTGCAGCGCGCTACCCGACCTTCACAAACAGCATTTCCTCATCGCAACACCCCGCTTAGTCCACCCAGCCGTTGCCGTCGAGCCCTGGGGCATATTATCGATAGGCTGGATGGGTCCGACCGTGCTGGATACGGGTACCGTTGGGCGAGGAGGGGATGAGGGCGGAGGGCAAGGACGACCAGCCGCTAGTGAGATTGGGCGAGGAAGAGAAGAGGTGGAGAGGGAAGAACGAAAAAGAACGAAGTCGCGCCATGCGAGGCGAAAGTCAACATGAACCAAATATGGCCAAACAAACGTGGCGCGAACTTGTGGCGACAATTCGCACGTCTTTTCTCTTCGTCGCACGCCCGATTTTAGCAGACTCACAAACCCCTGGACGACGGATGCGAGTCATTGGGCACCCGAGGCAAGGTCGGGCAAACAAAATGCGAGGCAATGCGATGACGGAGGCAGGGAATGGGCGACATGCTCACGTGCGTTCCTTTCGTTTTCTGACTTGTCCCTCCGGTTTACTGACTATCACTTTTTTTTGATCGCGCTCCTGGATAGTGCGTCTTTCGACTTCGTCTCCAGCCCAACACATATCTGTGCACGGAGATATCCCCGGCAACGAACGTACCATGAGCACGAATGGGCGCTCGTGCAAAGTTTGGACGAAACCTAGACCACCTCGGGCGAACAGCGCAATAGGAGGTTGCAGCATGTCTAGGTGTGTCCCTTTCACTGGCTTCCCTCGTCTCCGACTTCTTGTGCTCGTGCATTGACTGCCCCCTGCCTTCTCCTACATTCAACCTCCCTATCCCTGTTGTCTCGCCTCTACCTTCCATTGTTCGACTATCCGGATCTTCCCTGCACAACAGACGTGCAATTGAGGTGGTCATTTGGACCGCGAGGCAGGGTCTGAAGAGTACAGCGGCCGTTGAGGAGGATAATGAGGGCTCAGGTGCGTCCCGTTCGTTTTCCGAGGTGCCCCATTCTCTCGCCAGTACCTCCTCACCGACCTCCGCTACCTATCCACGCCCAATCCGATTCCCGCGCGAATTATCCACGGCATACCGTGGCAATATTGCAATACAGCAGGCCCGACGTATTTATCGAACCGTGACGTCAAGACTCGGAGTCGGAAACTGGGCCAGGGAGGAGGGAGCATGAACGCATGAACAGTCGAGTGCTGAGGTCCTGGCTGCGAAGGCTGGGCTGCATGGCTTCGAAACGCCGGAGGATGGGTAAAGCACTCGGAGGTATGTTCATTCCCTTTCATCAAAGATCTCATCCGTGTTTTCTGTTCCGTGTATGTTGCTGATGCTTCACAGGCGAGTGCCTCTCTACGTCGAGTACTCCCTTGTCTTTTCCCCGCCCGCCGCCGCCACCTCACCCCGCTCACGGAGGACGTTGGACCTCCCCACCTACTTCCACTCGTGCCTCAATTTCTCCACTTTAACAAGGCCCTCATAAGCTTCTCCAACGTCGGTGACACCGACTCCCTGACCAAGACATGGAAGGTTTGTCTTCTCTATTCTTTTCCCGTACCTTTCGTTCTCGTTCTAATCTTTTTTTCTTTTATTTTCGTGTCGTCATCGCTGCCAGGTCTGCACCAAGGTCGCCGGCTACCTCGAGTAGGGTCAACGGCTTGAGAACCTCAGCTCGTGCCTCTGGCATCTCCAGGACCGTATCGTCGACGCCAACAATGCCAAGTCTAAACGGAAGTTCAAGAAGCTTTCGAAACACATGAGCGACAAGCTCGACAAGGAGAAGGGCAGGTGAGCCCCTCTCGACGTCGACTGTCCTCTTCCCTCTGTTCCCAGAACCCCTTGACCCTGATCCCCTGTCCGCCACCCCCTCTCTTCGCCTACGTCACCCGTCCTTGTACTTGTAGGAGTATCGAAGAGCTCGAGGCTCCTGGCTTCAAGCGTAACCACTCTACCGACATCATCTGTCAGCACGCCGCCGAGAAGGAGCACACCTGGGAAGTGGACCAATACACTCGCCCCGGCAACATTAAACGGATGCAATTCACTTTCTCCCTCGACCAACCTACTCCCGTCTCCTCCCCCCCGCCCCAGTCAAGAAACCCGACCTCAAGCCGTCCGCAGAGTTCAAGGACAACTCCGCCCGTCGCGGCCATCCCTCCGCACAGACATCCGCGGCCGAGGTTGACTCTACCCCACTCTGCCAGACGCCAACGACAAGGACCCTCCTCTTACCCAGCGGTGCCGCAAGCCCTCCGCCACCGCCGACGCCGGCCAGCCCGATACCGACGACTATGACGCCTCTCTCCGATTGAACTGTGGCGCAATGCACACCCCGCTCTGGAGGAGGGAGCCCATTGACTGGTTGAATTGCAACGCTTGTGGGCTGTACTGTAAGTTCGTAAATTTTTCCTTGTCAACTTTTCTCTTGGCGCGGGTCCTATTTTCTGATCGTGTTCTGCTTATCAAGTACTACTGTAAATAGCATAAGCGTCTGCACTCGAAGTCCATCGCAACAACCACGGCGAGCGCTCGCAAAAAGCTCCTCGCCCGAAGCTCAACGAAGTCATAGGTCAGTCTACTACCTATCCTTCTCGCTACTTAGACCCTATAACTCATTGGCTCCATTTACCTCGTTTGTTCATTGTACCTGCTGTTACAGCGGAGTGCTATAACTGCAACACTACCGCTACGCCCTGTGGAGGAGGGATGACAAGGGCAAGACTGTCTGCAACGCGTGAGTCTTTTGTGTCTGCTTATGGCAATATTCGTTCATCCCTTGGAGACTATTCTGACTGTTTCGCCGCTTCTCTCTTCGTTTTCGCCTTTGATCCATTCTCCTTTGTGATCCTCCGCATCTTCTCCTTCCAATCAGCTGCGGTTTATAGTAAGTCCTTTTCCTTTATACACACCCATCACCCTTCTACCTCTCTTCTTCCAGAATGCTGACTCACCTTCCTCGTGTTTTCCCGTTCTGGTTGGGCTATCACTTGCGTCACAAAACAGCTTCAAGCTGCATGGTTCCCCACGGCCCATCTCCATGAAATCCCACGACATCCTTAAACACTCCTGGCACGAAGCCCGCCGTGCCTCCGTCAGCGAGTGGCAATCCCCCCGGTATGCCCCCGCCTCCCCGGGCACGTCTCGTTGCACTTCTCCCACCTCGGCCCACGACGGAACGAACAACTCCAACTCGCTCTCGCCGATCCTCACCCCTGATTCGACCACGCAGATGAACGTCGGGCCTTTTGGGGGTGAGATGGGAGACACCTACAGGGACGTGTACGCTGACTATGTAGATTACTCAAGGCATGGTGCGCATCATAACCAGGGACACTCGAGCGAGCTTGTTGGTGTGCTTGGTGGTGGACAGGGAGACAGTGGGGCGATCTATGGGTCCACGGAGTCAGATGGCGGGTTCCAGCACGCGCTGAACCTTTCGCTCGGCGGCAGTGGCAGACCTGGCTCTGCTGGGTTCCCGGGCCCTTACCTTCCCGACTGTATCTCGCAGATGCTCAGCTTCGGGGACACGTACAACGGGAACGGCGGCAAGAACTCAGATGTCGATTCGGACGCGCTCATGCGCAGGAGCCACAAGTGTCGTCGTATGAACAATGACTCCGCGACTGACCCTCCTTCCTCCACCATCTCATACTCGTCCTTCAGGGGCTCGTTCTCGTCATCCACCTTCACGTCCGTGACATCCCAGTCCCACTGCAACTTGATGAATTTTGCCTTTTCGTCGCACTCGTAAAGATGTAGCCATTCTCTGTCATCACGACTCCCTAGTACGCTTGTGTGTGACTGCCTGTTCTTAGCTATTACTACAATATGTATGATTTGCTCGCAGTGACTGAATGACAATGATAAATTACTGTCAATTGTATGAGTTTTATTGCTATGGTGCAAACGGCTTAGACGCCGCCACTTCTGTACACAACGTTGAGGACGGTGCCGCGGGCCGAGATTTGAGAATTTTCACTATCCCTCTTCCAGAAACACTCCTTTTGATGTAAGGAAGAGTTCCTCTAGAGGGATTATCCAAATTCTCAAAACTGGCAAAGATGAACTTTTGGATTTGGCCACCCCGCCAAATAATAATATTTAATTCATTTGTTTATTATTTTCCGAAAACCAAGGGGGGTGCCAGGAATTTTCTTTCAATAAATGGGGATTTCGACTTTCGGCGACGAAATTGGCCGCTGTACAAAAGTGGTGATGACTAAGCCGTTTGCACCATAAATGTGTGAGATTATGGTCCCCACTTTATAAGTAGTCATAATTAGAGTTGAATGTTCATCAATGTGTTAACATTAGCCCAATTATACCCAGATGTGCAGAATTAGCTGGATGTGTCATAATTATTTCTAACTTATGAATAAATAGTTCTGGAGGGTTTTCCTGATGACTCAGTTCCCGGATTCGGGAGGTCCGCCTTCAGCGGGCTTTCGCCCACCCCTGCTAAAGTAGTTGCTTATTATACTCAACCAATACTTTACTGCCTCTGTTCTCTGTGTTCCACCCTCTCCGCCACCGACTTCACCCTCAACATCTCCGTCCTCGAAACAGCCCACTCCATCTTCGCCCCCTCGCGCTCCGAAACCCGCTCTGACGCCCTCTTCAGCACAGGTGTTCCACGGGTTTTGACGGATGTGAATCCGTGAGAACGCATCCGGCATCCGTCTGGATGCCATCCGCGCTGAACTGTGCGGATGATGGGCTTCTCGGAGATGGCGGGGTCGTGATCCGTCCAAAAGGCGGACGTGACTTTGACGCGTCGAGAACGCGTCGCGAATTGGTGGCGCGTGTTTTGCTCCTGACCGCTTTGTACCTGTATAGCACGCATACCACTGTAACTTAGCTTCATCATAACTCGCTCTTCATGCTTTCATGCTACCCTCGTCTAGCCAACAAGCTGCCTCCCTCAGTAATTCCCTTAGCTCTGCTCAACCAAACACAAACTCTTCTGTCCCTTCCGGGCAAGTCTTGACTAGAAGTGCTAGCGATACCAATGCACCGGCACCATCATCCAGGGCTCCTCCTGCAAAGAAAACGAAAGCATCAGGAGGGAAGGATAGATGGTTTTGGAGTACATCCGAGTTGTGGGGAGAGGATGAACGGAATATTCTTGGTGTGTGGCCCAAGGTTTTCTTTTTGTTGCTTGAGGTGTGACGGGTCTCGTAGAGGATTGGGCCGACCATTTCACGAACCCACAAGAGCACTACAATGTC